AGTAATGACAGCAGGCAGACGAGCAAGAAACGACAAAACACATCATCACTGCACTAAGTGCTGCACTTTGTCTTCTGCTCCATTGTAGCAAAATTCCTCCACCCCCTGTCTGTGCAACATCATTAAGTGTGTGCAGCAATACATTAGCAAGACAAGAAACAACAATTCAGTACACAGTGAGCGGTAAAGAGATCAGACTCTGACAACTGTAACAGTCTGCACTCTGAGAAAAGCAGGTGGCAAAGAAATGAATGGCAGCAGGAAATCAGAGAAGAAACAGGTTTTGAGGAAAATATCTGAAACTGGGGAAAGTAGGTGGATATGGTGATGGGTATGCCATTAAAGTCAAGCACACAAGAAGCGATGCGACTGCATTATCATAGTCCATCAGTCATAATAGGATAACAATACATCATATACGCATACATTGGCAGTGTGCTGCTAAGAAAAAATGATCACGAAAGTTGACTAATTATGAATTGAATGAATTTTCTGTGATTTAAATTTTTTAACCGCTGTTGGCTCTCTATCAGTGCAGATGAATTTTTGACCCCTTAGTAATAAAATGTAATCATTGTCTGCTCTATGAGGCAGAGCCAGCCATAACTGTCTGGATGTCAGCCAACAAGAAAAGAATCTAATATCTCTGACTTAATTTATAACGCTCCAATTGCAAAGCAGAGGCCTGAGCAGTACTTCCGTCTACAAGAACTTGATCCAATTTTTAACATAGTATACCAGTAGGAAAAATTGGCAGATGTGATATTTACAATGTTCAATGAGAGAATAATAAAACAAAACAAAACAGTCTGCTTCCACTCAAAACAGCAGAAAAGCAAGAACTTACCTTCTCCATGGTCATCATGTCGATCCCAAAGTGAGCTAGGTGCTCTGGTAACTTGGAATCCAGCACCATGTCATCCTCATCATAGGAATACACATCTGGAAACACAAAACAGTGATGGAAATCAAAGGCAATGAAGCACTAAACTTCAGATAAATGGACAAACTATATATAGGTCAACAATGTCTAGTGATGGAGACTCCCCAGAGGTCACATATTATGTTCTCGATATTTTAACATTTTAACCACAGGAAAAAAAGAAGAAAAAAAGGTCATGCCATTTGCTTACCTGCTCCATCGGGAGTGATGGTTCCGAGTTTGACAGCGAGTGGGTATCCGGTCTCTTGGAAGTGAAGAAGGGCGTGATTGTTGCCCCCAGAGCCATCAAAATACCTGCGACCACACAGCACTTTGCCGTCTGTCAGGTTCATCCAAATATTCTCCTGGAGGTCACACACCTCACACCGCCAGCCACTAAAATGGAGAAAAGAAAAGTAAAATAAACCCTCCACATGTTGTGAAATATTGCTTTTTAAGATCTTGCAGGTTTTGAATAATAGAATATCATAGGAGACACAACAGCATTATTAAAGTAATGTAACAATGGATCAACAGATCCTAAATGCAAATGTGTTCTTACTTGGACTTCACTTAATTTAATACACCATTGCAACTACTAGGGTTTTTTTTTTTTTAACAGCATGTAGGGATAGCTATTGTATTTGCAGGTTTGCACATCCTTTCATCAATTTTGAGTGAAATATAGAAGCAGCTTTGTTCATGAAGTCACTAATCTAGATAAGATAACACTTTAATGATCCTCAGGCGGGGAAATTTGGATCTATGAGGAACTGTATGGTAGGTTTATTTTAGGAACAGTTGGGACCTCATGTCTCACCTGGGAGGGATCTTGACTCCATTGTCAAGCTGTTTAAGGTCAGCGGCATGCCTGGACTCCTGTCTCACCTCTCCGTCCCATTGTTGAACTTGTAAGGTATGAGACACTGAGTCAGCTGCCATTATACCCGCCATTGACAGGGACACCTTAAGGGATGGCAAATGAAACAGGAACAAATTAGACCTGACTAACAACTCATGAAACTTCTGAACTATTTTATCACTGAGGTTAACAAAGTCTATTACACACATATCCTTGTGTATTCCCATTTTTTAGAATTAAGGGATATATCGACAAGATGCTGTATGAAGACTAAAATGTCAAAGATCTGTGAAGATTGCCTATGTTTGCAGCAAGCCTCTGTGCTATGTGCTTTTTACTGTGTTTTCATTTTATGACAATGTCATGTTTGGTACTGTGAAACTGTATCGTAAAAAATGTAATTTGTAAAGTAGTATATTACCATTGTGATAACCCTGATAGAGCATTAACAGAATAATAACATTTCTCTTGCTAGGAAACAGCTACGATATCTCACCCGCTCTCTCACAACGTCAGGCATGGTAGTAAGGTCATCTGATGCCACTTCCTGTCTGTCAGGTAAAATGACCACCTTTACATCCTCTTCATACTGCTCCTGCTCCACATCAAAACCTCCTTCAATCCCTGGACAAAGCAGAAACAAGTGGGGAGACGGACACAGGTCAGCCTCAAAATAGGACTGCTGGATATAATGTGATTGTGTAAATACTCTTTCATGCACTCACCTATGGCCAGTCTGGTGGGCTTTTTCTTAGGTGGGTGTCCAGATCCAGAGTTATTGTCATCTTCCTTCTGTGAGAATAACTTAAAGTATCAGTGGGTGTTGAGATTTGTTCACTGTTTATGGAAAGAGATTATGCTGATAATGTCAAAACATAATTTACATATGTGTCAATGGGGTTGTGGAATTTACCACAGTTTTAAGAAAAGAAAATCAGAGAGTATAATTAAGTGACCACCTTAGCCTTACGAGTCCGGGTGATGTGCAGGTAAGCCCTCTGGCCAGACCGAGCATTGTGCCTGTCCACATACTGACTCCCAAAGCCCAGGAAACTGTTCATGCACACATACAGGCCTCCTTCACTCTCCTGTAAAGAAGACACAAGCAATGTTCAACGCTTCAACCTGTCCTCGTCTCTTTCTATCGTGACACATCACTTGGAAGTTTAAGTTGGGGGCATTGTGGGTGACAGCATCAGCTGCTATTTTTTTTTTTAGCGAACTAGCTCCACAATCAGCCTGCTAATGTTTGCAATTCATCTTAGCACTGGTTTAATGTTATCTAAATCCACGAGGATCTTCAGCTGTAATGGCTGAGATATTATGGGTTGAGTTACGTTAAAAACAACCTTGAACAGTCCTGCAACAGTTGTGACCATAAAGACCACCAAGTCAGCTTGCTAGCTAGTTTGACAGCATACCCGGTTACACTAGCTAGCTAACAAGCTAGAGCAGCTAAGTTTCCATTACAGTGCATTATTAGCTTAGCTTGGTGCTAGCTTGCTAGTTAGTTGAAACAGTAAAATCTAGGAAGCCAGTGCGTTAAAGTAGGACAGCGCTGACATAACGTCACATTAGATAAAAACAGGAGATAGTGAGAGCGAGGGAGAAATGAAACAACACTGTTTATTAGCTGACGTTAAGATTTGTAAAGGGAAGATGGCTCACCGGCGAGGAAAATGACAAGGCGCATTCGTCTTTGTGGACGCGGTCCCCGGGCTTCGGAACCCGAATTGTGGACAAAACCGACATCAAAACCTCACCAACATCCGCCATGACAAGCGAGCTAGTTTTGCCTTTCAGTGGGACACTTGCTCCTCTGAGTTTGGACCCCCAGCCTCTTAATTCCCCGGCTCGGAAGAGTGCCCGTTGTCTAGCCCGTCCTCTGGTGTCTGTGTTCGGCTGAATGAATCATGAGATGCTGCCTTGTGTTGAGCGAAGGCCGTACGAACTGTGTTGCCTGCACGCCGACGGGCTGCGCCTCGGTACCGTAATCTGTAGAGTATCTGCACCTGTCGTGATTTTGTAATGCAGTGAATTTACATCCCCATCGCATCAATCGAGAAAAAAATAGTTGGTAAAATATCATATCAGTAAAATCATTCTTTTACATTAATGCGCAAATAATGATAATCTATTGATACAAGATATAATAGTATAACACTCAGGGGGCATTTTCTTCTCTGAGCAGATTACTTCAAGTACATTTTCCAGTAACATGCTTATATTTAAGTCACTTTTTCAGTGCAGACCTTTACTTGTAACACAAGACTTTGTTATTAGTACTCTCACTTAAGTACAGGATCTGAATACTTCCTCCACCAGAGAAGAATAGATGCAATTCCCACTGGTTCTCTTTATTTTTTAAGGATACTCTCAAAGAGACTAACGTTGTGAGTTTTATGCACATCTTTATTGGGGATACTGATATGCAGAGCCAGTCAAAATTAAAGAATTATCCTTTAGGGTTTAACATTGAATTTACCATGTAAAAGAAATGTTAGAAAGATTTAGGCTAAACATAAATTATGCTTATGATTTTTGTAATTCAGATAGAGAAACTCTTTTGTCGTTTTTCCATTCATGTTTGTTCACTGTTATTTATTTTGGATAAATATGCAGAGTCTTATCAATTGGGAAATGGGAACTATAATGTACAGATCGATGTAATTAATCTGATGTTGTAGCCTATCTTGTGGTTAGTGAGACAGGTGTGAATATGTCCTACATTGAGTTGATCATTCTTAGTAAATTTCACATGCACAAACCTAAATAGACTGGTTCCAAATCCTGCTTATATTGTGTTTTGTATGACTGTTGTTGGACCTCTTTGTTGTAAATAGAGTGAAAGAGATTTATTTTTCGTTCAACCTGTTTATTTGTACATTTACGGTAACGTCAGTTGAACCGTACCAACGTCTGCCTCTCGCGGCCACAGAGGAGAATACAACGACTCGGCAGTTGCTGAATAATATTCAGTTAAACACATCATGTTGCGTTAATTAGCTCAAAACAAGTCAATAAATTGAATTTAACTAGATTTAAAGAAACGGAATTACTAGTCAGTGACATTAACGAGGAGCACAGTGCATACATCAAATGAAATGACAGCATTTACTCTTCTCAAACGGGAGGAAACTTTCTGGCTTAGTCTACTTCGTTCCCTAAATATTTCCATAGTCCCTCCTCCTCGTCTCCCAGCTCCGTCTCCTCCACAGAGGGCTGCTTTCTCGGACCATGGCGCGGCTCTCTGATCATTTCACTGTATACGTGGCGCTTAATTTAATTATTCCAGCATCACTTAGTGTTACCGCAGTAACTCCGGGTGGCGGCAGCGCTAATGTTTTGTCACTTCTGCCGCCGTATGATTTTTTGTATTACAGCGGGGTACGTGCATACTTTGGCGAGGAGTGGGCTAAAGCTGCGGAACAGCTGGAGAAATCCATCGTGACCAAGGAATCACTGTTCAGAGTCCGCAGGCAGTGTCACGATGACTGTGTCGCAGCAGGGAGAGAGGCGCTCTCCAAACTGGGTAAGTAATGAGGTGACAAATATATGTGTATATACGTGTGTGTGTGTGCGCGCGTGCGTGTTTGCACCTTTAGGGTGTAGTGATTGGGTGACCCTAGAGACAATGGTGTGCCAGATTTACTATTATGGTCTTTTTTCAATTGGTATTTATTAGTCATTTAAATTAATTAAATTGACATTTGAATGATATAATAACAGTCAGTAATATGTTAATTAAATGTAATGCTTCACTTTCATTTCCTATGCCTGTGGTTACCAAACGTTTTGGCTGGTGAACCCTTTCAATGAGGTCATGTTTACTTGTCACCCCTCCTCATATTATGTCCTTCACATATGTGTAAACTTAAGTTGCCCACACAGTATTTCTACCAATGGGTGAATTTTTCCTTCTGAGCTTGTTTCCTATAATGGACTATGTTAAAGTCTTCAGGAATTCATAAAACACTTGCTTTAAGTTATGGCATTCATCTGTTTCCCTTCCCTTTTTAGTAGCATTAGGCCTGGCAGGTAGCCAAACTAACTGCTTTGGATGAAGGATAATTACTTGTGGGGAACTAAAACACTATGAAGTCACTGGCAGCATCCCTTATTCTCAGTGTCTGAGTGTGTGGCTTAAATATGACTTTGACCTCAAGAGCAGAAGGCAAATGCAGGCAAAATCAGAAACAAACAGAACATATAAATATGAATTATTAGTAAAAAGTAATTAGTGACAGTCCTATAATAGTGTAATAGTTAAAAACTTGCTCCAAATCAACCAGCCACAACAGTAAAACCCTGCCTTTACATTAATGCATGAATGATAATAATATTTTGATATAGTGTTCATAGGTAATATGTACCATTTAAACTGTTATTATTATATATTAATATAGTGTGTACATTTCAAATAGAGGAAGCTCCATTATTTCTCCAAATGTTGACAGTGCATAAACAGTGTTTATAATTTAGACATAATCATCCTTTGTATATGTGACAGACAATGTTCAGTGGTATATTTCACCCCCAAAAATGATTCATGTTTTCTGTATTGTTAGATTCTGCGGAGGCGAGTCTGTGGGACCTCTGGGTCTTGGATTGGGTGCAGCAGAGAGCTGAGTGTTTAAGGTTCTGTGTTGGACGTTCTGTGACCCTTGCAGGGCAGCTCCCTGTTTCTTCAGACATAGAATATGAATTCAGCTCTCGCAACCCTTACAACTTCCTGCAGGTCACATACTACAAGGTAAGCTGTTCTTCAGGCAGTCATCAAGGTCTGTGGCATTCTACTAATTGGCCATTTGTCATCACTGCTGGTAGAGGTGCATGTTAGCTTATTTCAAAGTGTCATTTAGAGGCAAGAGGTTTCATGTCTGTGCTGTGATTCACTAAACCTAATTATGACTCAGGTCACAACTTTATTCTATTGCAACACTCCTGTCTTTCTATGACAACTGTCATTCACACTCTCCCCTTCATTCACATCAGTTGGAAAAGCTGCAGAAGGCAGCGTCAGCAGCTCACACCTACTTTGTGGCCAACCCCAGTCACCTGGAGATGAGGAACAACATTGAGAAGTACAGGAGGATGGAAGGAGTGACCGAGGAGGCCTTCCAGGACAGAGAGATTGAGAATGAGAAGCACTGGGTGAGGTGTAGGGGGGTGATGGATTTGAGTAGGGGATAGGGTTACACTAGGTAATCTTGTACATTGACTGCCCTGAGTGGCCACAGTGGGTTACGGTTATCTAAGTGTATTCAAAGAGAAATATTTTGGAGATGTAACTATAGGGAGAGCCAGCCATGGCCTGGGGGACTGAATTCCTCTCTCTCTCACCTCCACTCTCTGTTATCCAACCATGCAATCCAAACTCAGTTTTACTCATTGAAGACCTCTGTCTGAGCAACTGATTTTGTCTATTCAGACACACGTGTTATAACATGATTAGGCTCGTCTGAAATTAGCTTAGACGGTCCGTGCAATGGCATCCGCTTCTATCTCAAATTTCAGCCACCATTTTATCTTTTAATTAACAGAACAGTTTTATGCTTATACTCTCATTTTCTTCCAACGACACGAAAGCCAGTCTGGCAGAATTGTCTGTATTTAATAGAACAATATTATTCTCAAATCTATCAAACCCAGGTTCTGTATGATGCTGCAGTCCAGCATGAGGCCTCCTCTGACTGGGTGCATGCAGTAGAGAAATGGAAAGCGTGTGTGAATGAAACACTGCGGCAGACAGAGGAGTGCAGGGTGCAGTGTGAGGTGGCTTCCCAACGGCTGCCTGAGGACAGGGGGGTGGACAGCGTTGACGGTGTGTTCGAGAAATCCGCCGGTAAGAAGAAAACAAAAATAAAAGATTGCAGCCTGAATGTTTCGCGTTGGCACAGACAGAAAGAAAAGATATAGCACTCCTTTTTTATTTCCCATCTAGCTCTTTCTCTCTCCCTGCTCTCGTGCCGGCAGTCCTGTGTGACTCAGGTAGCCACGCGACCTGGAAGGATTTCTGCTCAGGAGGACTACCTGCCCACACAGCTGGAGCATCTGCACATTGCACAGTTTAAAGGTGAGGGTTTAAAGTTCAACATGATGATTATTTAATGCGATGTGATGATACAGTGCATGAAGTGCCACTCTTTCCTGCTTCCCAACAGCTGGTGACATTAGTGGAGCGGTGAGGACTCTGCGCTCTCTTCTCCTGTTTTACCCCTCTGACAAGGACTCTTTAGACAACCTGCAGCTCTACTATGAGACACTAGGAGGAGACACAGAGTCACAAGGCACACAGCCTGCGCAGGTACCACTCACTGTCCATTATATTAAAATCACCACCATGGTGATAATAATGATCTAAGTTCCTTGATTTTTTTTCTCTTAATCCATTAATCTCTTCAGTTTAATGTGGGAACAATCAAGTTGACAATTGTGCCATTTTCTTTTGTCAAATGTAAATGTCCTCTCTTAACCCATAAAAGGAGGTGAGGAATCACTGTTCATGCACACATAGACTTCAAATTCAACTTAATTTTCATGTTTGACCGCAAGTTTATGTGTATTTGTCATACAGGAGATTGTCAGATACATCAGTCGCTCTTTGCAGGAGAAGAAGCTACTGTATTTTGGTATGGAGAACCTTGACTTCAGTTTCACCGACCCAGTAAGCACTGATGCCAAATAAACAATATTCTGATGGGCATGAGGAAGAACTTTAAATCTTACCCTGAAAGAGTTTAATGCTTGTTTTTATCATGTAGGATCTTTGGACTCCAGAGGATGTTGTACCCAAATCACTGATGGAGAATTGGAGGTGAGACACACAGGAAGAAAACTGATTCAGTCACTTGTGCTTTAGTAAAAGTTAATGTAATGTTGACTGAGTGTCTTTTGCCTTTTACTGTCAGAGCTGAAAAAGAGAAGATGCATGAGAAGATAAAAGAGGGAGAGCAGCAGGAGGAAGTGGATGACAGTGGCTTTTTTGCAGGTGAGGTGTGAGTCGTTCCACCCTTTTGTTTCAAGTCTGCAGCAGTCTGCAATTTCCTCTCTCACCCTCTCTTGTTTGTCCTCTCTCCAGGTGGTGCGGTCCCTCGGGTGGGTGTGACCATCGCCATGGACGAACTGGTTCTGAACGGGACAAATCGCGTAGTACTGGACGGAGTCATGACTGAGAAGGAGTGTGACAGAGTACTGCAGTTAGCAACAGTAAGTTCAGATTGTTAAAGAGTCGGACCTCATCAGATAGAATCAGGAACACTCTCACCTTCATTTCCTCTTGACTCTGATAGGCTGCCGCATCAGCTGGAGATGGTTACCGAGGACGACGGTCTCCGCACACACCTCATGAGACATTTGAGGGCCTGACTGTGCTCAGGGCTGTAAAGGTGGGTGAACAGGAGATAATTCAAGAAATGAATATGAATTAATTTAAGAATCATATTATCATGGTGTGTGGTGGTAATCTCATGCTTGAACATAATTTATTAAATTGATTTTTTTTTTTAACATAATCTTAACTTCTTTCACAGTTGGCTCAGGATGGCCTTGTCAACCAATCAGATGCCAAGCTGTTACATGAGCTGGGCGAACGAGTGAGAGTCCTGCTGCACTCCTACTTTAGGAGCCCCTCAGGACTCTTCATCTCTTTCACACACCTGGTCTGCCGCAGTGCTGTCGCAGGTAACACCCGACATTATCCACATCTCTCCGAAGTGAGATTAATCTGCTCATGTAGATCTAAAAACAACTACAGAGTTTCAAAGAGTTCTGATGCTGTGAACCTTTGGTTAAGTAAAATAATGGTTTGTTTGGTTTTCTGTGCTCTCAGGTGACCAGGAGGGCAGGTTGGATCTCTCTCACCCCGTCCATGTTGATAACTGTCTCCTTGAGCCAGAGACCAAGCAGTGCTGGAGGGAACCACCAGCATTCATACACAGAGACCTCAGGTACACACATTCAATAATTAATAATTCATGTAGTCTCAAACTCTTAACATAAATAATATTTAGAGATACAGACAGACAGAGGTAATGTTATTTTCTTCCAGTAAATAACATCTTTTTCACAGAATATTCTTGAATCAAGTGATATTACCGTTATCTTTACTTTGACTCCTTCACATGGAAGCAGAATGAGAGAGAGTGACCTGGGGAAAGAGAGAAAAAGAGAAATCGATCTGTTAGTGTTATTTTATTCTGTCAAACGCGTCAAACCTGTTTCTCTCACAGTGCCATTCTTTACCTGAATGACAACTTTGATGGTGGAGAGTTGTTTTTCACTAACCGGGATGCCAAGACCGTAACAGTAAGATGCTTTTCAACCTGGTCTGATAGACAGAAATCATTTCATTCTGTCATTTTTAAACCTGCATACAAATATTTTTTGGACCTTTTGCCCTTTTCCCCTCCTCCTCCATGTCTCCAGGCTCAAGTCAAACCCAGCTGTGGTCGACTGGTGGGCTTTTCCTCTGGTCCAGTGAATCCCCACGGTGTCACTGCAGTGACCAATGGCCGGCGGTGCTCGCTGGCCCTGTGGTTTACAAAGGAGAAGCTCTACAGGGACATGGTGAGCATAATGACAACACTCAGCAGTGCCTCCTTCTCAGGTAGCCTGCAGTCATGTGGTTGTTGATGTTGCGACACCAGTGTTTGGTAAGACCAGCTGGAGACAGAGCACAATGCAAATTTGGTGGTTGTTTTCGTGTTTTGTCATTTGCAATACCTGGTCTGTGATCATACCATGTCAGTGACCTTTAGCTTCATCATACTGTAGATTCACTAGGAAAAATGATGAATCATCATTCAGTCTCCAAATCCATTCCAAAAGAAATTGCAGTGTCCTCATTTGTAAAAATAAAAAAATAAAAAATAACAGATGTGCCAGATGCTCCTCTAAAGAGCTGCTGTTTATTAGTTGAGCCAATTATTTTAATAATGTTGAAATAGTTAGGGTTGCTTACCCATGTTTAGAATGATGCAGACTGTTTAACTTCAAAGAAGAAATAACAATTTTTTTATTCCTCTTAAAGATGACAAGCCAGAAAACACACCCGTGCTTAGATCAGTACCGTCAGAGGTTTTTGCTGCTACAGCCTTACTTGGTCTGCTATGACCAGGAGCTTATGATGCCTGATAGTAGCTAATGTTAGCAACATTGTGTAACTGACATTACTGGGTCTTCTCTAATAGTGCTATTGTTATACTATGTTTTAATATTTATATCATTATCCACAGTTGTCCCTTGTGGCTCCAGCGCTGAATGTTCTAGTTCATAGTCTCACTTTAATAGTGGAGAACCACTTTATGCTGGTGGAGCCTCGTTGTTAAAATGACTTACCACAGAAAAACAGGAAAATGAAAGTTTCTGAATATTTGTCTTGAAAGTACAATGATGTAAAATACAGTAACTCTAATAGAGGTGAATGTTGCTTCCAAACTTGCCTCTTCATGTCATAGGGGCCACAGGAAATCAATACTTTGATACTCATTGCTCTACTTTTGTCTGTCTTCCTCAGGAGCGAGAGGAGGCAGAGGCCTTGTGGGCTGCAGATGGACAGAGTGTGGTGAAAAAGGACGAGGAGGAGGCGGAGGGCAGCACCACCACCACCAGGAACGCTCGGAGCCAAGCAACGAAGGAGAGGAGCAGAGGGAGAGGCAGGGTGACGGGGGGCAAAGATGAGCTGTGAGAGCCTGAACAAACCTGACAGACTGAAACTGGAACACATTTTCATTTGCATCCATCCAAGTGGAGAAGTTCCCCATCCCACAATGGGACCATTACACCAACCATGAACAGCTCTCTGATTTTACAACATGGTCTTTCAGTTTTTACCCACACATTCACTCTCTTCATCTTGCTGCATTTTCATGTAAAGCTTGCATTTGTGTATATACTGTATTTATACTGTATATGATGAAGGTAAGTGAGGGAGACACTGTCCTTTCCCCTCTCTCTGTAATGTCCGTCTGTACTTTTGTTTTAGCAGCTTTACTGACCGATATCACACTCTCTAAAAATGAAGAGAATAAAAGAAAAGATGAATGTGACTCTTTGCCGGTGTCACATGAGAACTGTGTGCCACATCCACGCCAGTGAGGTACAGAAAAAGCCTTACAATAAAGTGGAAAAAAGGCTGTGTAATCTATTAAGGGATTGCCTCACACCGTCTGTGGCTGCCTGCTGATTAAAACTAAAAAATGAAAGGGTTCTCAGTCTGTAACCTGTCTGTTAAGAGTAGAAGCATGTGATAAGATATACAATTAGACAGCAGCACAGCAGTAGGAAACAAAAAGTAATTACATCAGCATAGTGCATCAGAAACTAGAGTTCAAGGCAGTAAGAGGGAGAAGAGGGAACAGAGAGAGAGAGGTGCGCAGGGGAAAAAAAGGATAGAAATAGAGAGATTACTGTTAATCCCTCATAAATGAGTGCATTTGTTTATGAAGCTTAAAAAATCTCCCATTTAGAATATGGAATAGTAATCCTGCAAGAGATCATTTAATCATTCACGTCCAGAGGAGTGACACTCGACCACCCACTTCCATCTTATCCTTCCCATTACAACCAGTGCCTCCTGTCAGCCCCCTCCTCTGCTTTCGTCTCGTGCATTAGGTACAGAGTCAAGCACTGTTTATGGCCCATATTAACACTCTCACTCCCCCCTGTGTTATAATCCCCCGCCGCAGCAGAATTGGGTCGGCAGGACTGTTTAATGGAGCCTTGGGTTTAACCTCTTCCCTCCCTCACACGCTGAAACCACGCAGTACCCTAAAAGTCTGCATTAATCTTCTCTTAAGTAGGTGTTATGTCTGTATAATGCATCTAAGATATCCTTACACTAAGCACCCCGGCCGTCTACTGTTCTAATTACACACTTGGCAGAAAAGCAGAAAATTTACAGCCGTATGATGTCATCTTTCCATGTTTTATATGATTAGCAGAAATTATGCAAGGCCTAACAGCATAGTTATAAAACTGAAATCACAACATCCTCTTGTCATTATAACTAAGTGGTGTGTGTAGCAAGTAGTTGACAGGATCGCTCATCCCTTATGTTGCATCCACGCATTAACTTTCCTACTATTTGTGGCCCACACCACTTATTGGGTGTCTAGTGGTGATTTCTGGCCTTACCAGATGATGCTTTACTCCACTTGTAGGTGTAATCATAACATGAGATTCAATAGGAGTATGAGGATCATAATTCATGCCTTAACGCCACACTCATGTCACAACATCTCATTTAATCCAGTCACCCCACCCCTCTCACCCACCGCCATCCTGCACCTCATTTATTCAAAACGAGGTCAAAGGTTCAGTGACCCTTTATGGACTAAACAAAATCTGCTCTACCTAACAATGAGATGGCTTTGGCGCAAACCTCATAAGACTTTAAAAGTGCCAGCGGAACTAAAGCAATGCTAGTTATGATCTAAGCTACAAATAGTAAAATAAAAGATTTTATAATAGGGATAATGCAAGATCAAGACATCACTGGTCTTTAAATAGTAACCCAAAATAACTGTCTTTATCCTGTGTCTCTGTGCTTACTAACAAAATCCTTTTTTTTCTCTCTCTTTTCTATTTTCTCTCGGTTTTTACGCACCATCTCACAGCCCACATTGCCCCAACTCCATTTCTCCAAATCCAGGGTCAGCTCAGCCAAAACGGCCGGTCTGCTTCTGTCGTCACCGCACTCGAGTGAGCGAAGGTCAACACTTTTAAACTACAGAGCTGAATTTATCCATGCTGAATCATAGAATAAACCCAGAAAGCAGGCAAAACACACACACACACACACACACACACACACACACACACACACACATTCCAAGCCTTTTTCTTCCATACACAGAAATGTATGCAAGCGTGTAAACACACAAAGGAGTTCATAATCTACAGTATCAGTGGCACAGTGATGCTGTTTAATCATCTGATTCTTTGGCCTCAAGGGTTTGCACAGAAAGTAATAATGTGATACTTCTTTCTAAGGTCAAAGGTCACAGTCAGTTACAGCAGCATCCCAGGGAACTCGTGAGGATTCAGATCCTGTTTCATCTCATTTTAATTTGTTATCATTGGTTTTCTACTTAGCATCTGTGTCACGTGTCCACTTGAAAAGCAGAGGGTAGCAGTATATACATGTGTACAATACATCTGTTACTACAGTCCAGGATCAGCAAATTTATTTAAACATTAGTTTAAGATGCTTAAACATGTTAATTGCTTGTTTCACTATGTTTGCTAAAAGAAAACCACAATGTATTCAAGGCACAGTGCACATTATATAATAAGTAAACATAGCTGCTCACTCACTTCCCTCACTGTCAAAGGATCATTGTAAAGATGTTCAGTGGATGAACTGAACCAACCTACTGCCTGAAAGTGCTATATCATGATAGTGAGCACAAGCTGTGCTGTTTCATAACTAATACAGGTGATTTACTTTGTTAGATAATGTGCAGCTGCAGTGGGGTGCACACTTTCTAATGGGCAAAGGCAACAATTAAAAGAGGAAGCTCTAAGTTTAGGGGTTTGTTTTGTACTAAGGTCCCACTGGAGCAGAACATGAGTCAACGAGAGCGGTATATGGGCCAAACAGAAGGATCCTTCAGGGTATTTTGGTCTCTAAACTGCCCCTCTGTGTGACATTTGGTCAAAAATTACAAAGAAAAAGAAAGAAGATGGTATTTTGACACTTGAAACAAAGAGCAAAGAGATTCTGCGTACTGTCAGTTTATGTTCATGCCTGGTGGCACTATGTGCCTCATTAGAATGACCCAGACCTCTCCTGAATCCTGCAGTTATTTCTTATATTACCATTGTACCCTGTCAGATCTCTGCTCTGCCAATCTCCCTCTCTGCCCCTAAACTTTCTAATATTAGGTTCACCTCAGGTTTACAAAACACAAACTCTGCTGCCAGTCATGGATCTTTTAAAGACTACCTCAGCACCATAAAAAGTCATGTTCCCAAGTCCTCTATTTATCTTCTTTCCCCTCCCCTCCGTGATTTCCATCTCTTGGTTTTTGATTCGGATTCACCCCAGCTCGTGTCTTGTGACCCCACAACCATGCTTCTGCACCTTGTTTGGTTTCCCCCACTGTCTCCTCTCCCTTTCCGTCTCTTTCACCCCCACCCCACCCCACTCCACTCACCCCCCCTACCCCTCTTTCTGTCCATCCCAGGGTTTATCCCCTCATCACTGATCTCCCTTCATCCCTCCAATCCTCATCTGTTCCTCATAGGAGCAGTAGAGAGAGTGAGTGACGGAGGAATATCACACTGTGTGTGATACCAAAAGTGAATGAGCGGGAGAAAGTGAAGTAACAGGCTGAACTTATGACAACTACCAGAGGGAGACCGCTGGAGGAAGAGTGATTCCAGATCTGCCAACACACCTTGACAGGAGTCTCCTAATTGGTGAGTTGGATCGTCTGTTCTTGGTAGTTGTGTGTGCTGTGTGTGCGGTTGTGTCATGCTGCTCAGATGATGGATCACATTCAAAGGTTCAGATGAAAATTGGGTTCAAGTCTGAAAAGACATTTATCACCGGCAGCTTTAAAAATAAATTCCTGAAGCCTGAAGGATGTTTTTGACTGTTGTGATGATACAACCATAAAATTAAACACCAAAAAATGTTAAAAAGTTAAGGATTTTTTTTAAAATGCAGCACACGTACAACCTTATATACTTGTGACCTTACAGTATGTAAAACATAAGTTAAAAAACATATTCAAATATCAAATAGATGCCATTCAAGATTATGTTGACACACATTTAATGCACTTATCTTTTGTTTATGACACACACAGCAGAGGGATTTTCATGGCATCAGCATACAATGCTTTTGTCGTGCAGACTGATAATCTGAGTAAAACACAAATTCCTTTTGTGGTCTGATTCTTAATACCGTCAGTCATAATCCGCATAATAAAACAATGTTAAGTTGTTTTTCTGGGTGCATCTATAAGGGTGTAAAATGTAGAATCAAAGTTGCAAAATCTTATGTGTGAATCACTACAGTTTTAACAGAGGAAGCAGCTTGGTAGAACAGGCTGAGCTAGAACAATATGGATAAAATCTTCTATTACAGTATGTGATTATATACTGTGACATTGAAATATCATTGACATAGTAAAGTTTCTGGAAACTATTGAGAAACGGATCATGGATGAAAATGATTATATAAATAAGATAAATAAATGTTCATTTTTAGTTCCTCCAGTGAATTAAATACCCGACAAAACAAGGTACATTTAGGCATTGAATGCAAAAATCATGTAAATCCATTATTACCATAAGAGAGTCCTGATCTTTGACTTACAACATTGCCTGCTACAGCCTGAAACACCCAGAGATACATGGCTACTGCAGAGTAAACGACATGGCAAAGTCACTGTTGACTGACAGGTTTATTTCATCTCATGGTATACATGTGTATGTCATCATGTCCTCCAGCCTTAGTACAACTCTTTATGCAATATATTTGTTTGGTGTTAACTGACAAGCTAGTACCGCAACTATGAGGAGCTACAACACTCAAAGTATAGTCCTCTGATTCAAAATAACAAGAGCCACATTCTCAACAGTGTCTTTCGTAAGTTTTATGATTTTATTTCGTGAGCTGCACCAAGAGCACAAGACTCTGGCTTGTAACTGGTGAGGAGCTCTCAGCTGAGGTGAGGATGCAAACTGCAGAGCACCAGAGTCGCCGGTCAGACTCAAGTTCATAGACCCGGTCACACCGAAAACACCAGCCCCCATTCTCACAACTCTCTCTCTCTCTCTCCGTTCCCTTCCACTTCATCCATCTGCCCCCTCCCTCATTCTCATCCCACTACCCCCCCCATCCCTTTCACCATCTCTTATCCAGATGCAAAGAGCAGTCAGTAATCGGATGAGAGCAGATTTGATTCAAAAGGCTTCCCTTAAAATCTCAGCCAGTAGGATTTAAAACTCACTCTCCTGCCTCGCCTCTTACCCTCCACCCCCCCCACCCCCCCCCCACCTCCCCCCTGCCTCCCTCCCCTCCTTCCTCTCCCTCCCTCTGCCCTCCGCTTCTCTGTGGCTGTGTTAATGCACTTCACTATCCAGCAAACCCCTAGCAGTCATTTAATCACATGGAACAATGGCAGGGTCCCAGGAACAGAATGGCAAAAGGGTAATAGCAGGACTAAAACACTCAGGCATTCATTACAACACTCATTATCGAAGCTATTTCCCATCTGGAACAAAGGCCTAAAATCCCCTGTTACCGACTTCAGGGACAATGTAGTCATCGGCAGTTTAAGGCAGGACACCCATGCAGTAGCTTCTGAGGTGTTTTGGAGCATTACACTAGTATAAAGGCCAGAAGTCAGCACTATAATTTCATTTTAAAATGTTTCAGGCCATCTTCCATTTCACTTTGAGCATTACAGATGGATAAAGGATAGACCCCAGTGGCAAACAATTAAATCTCTTTCTTTTACAGAGTCACTCCCTCCTTCACTCCCTTCCTCTCCTTTTCACTTCAAACAAATTAGAGGCAAATCCACTTGGTCATGTGTTTTGACAGGAAGACTCATTCAAATAGTCAACGTGAGGGAGAGATACTGCTGCAGGGACGCATACGATAAGATCAACACAAGTATTCCCCCCTTTCAGTTTTCAAGGTAAGATAAAGGAAATATCATCACGACAATTTATTGCTTCACAAGAAAAGAGACGTACTGGGTTTGCACAGCAGAAGGAGGAAGGCGCTGTTTGTTGAGGTTGGTTATATTGTTCTGCTTTGCCATGAAGTTAGTGTCATGTGTCAACGCTCTCCTCTTCACACTACTCTGTTTCTGTAAAAAAAAAAAAAAAAAAAGAAAAAAAAATCAGCTGGGAGATCGTGACTCTGCCTTTTCACTTGTGCCTTGATTACATTTGTCACACTGTATGAATTTGTCCATTAGGCGATTGCTTTACTGCTAAACATTGCTCATTTAATCATGACATTACCAAATTCAATAGCCATCAACATTAGGTGAGAGCGCACTGGAGTGTTAAATGGCGCAAACTCTCCTGTCAGTGTTGAGAATTCGTTGTGAAGTGAGAGGCGACCGGCTGAGAGCTGATACACTAATGACATTATTACAGGACTTACTGGTTTGTGTGTACATTCAGGGTGAGGATGTGTGCTCGCAGCATCATCTGAAAAACAAATACTTTCACTGCTAATGTCATGCTGGAATATTCATACAGTCTGCATGAATATGTGTGTGTGTGTGTGTGTGTGTGTGTGTGTGTGTGTGTGTGTGTGTGTGTGTGTGTGTGCATGCGTATGTTGTGACTGCATATGTAGGCGTGATCTGTGGGCTTCTGTGTGTTTATGAAAGTTTGCAAAGTAGACAAGAGCCAGTTTGACTTGCAAAATAGCACTTACTTGGAGACCGGAGCTGGAGAGGATTAAAAATCATTCAGGTAGGTTCAGGTAAAATTCCAGCATGAAGCCTCAGTGCTGGCAATGCTGACAGTGGAGGATAAAGGTACCAATCACAATTATTTCCTTTAATTGTTTCTTGTGAATTGATTTCTGTTTTAGTTGTAACCCTACCTCTCTTCTTCTTCTTCTTCCTCTTCTTCATTTCAGGATTATCTGCTTTCCTGACATCTCTCCATTAGTGTCCATACCTAACAACCATCGCCATGGGTGAAATGGAGCAATTGCGAAAGGAGGCGGACAGTCTCAAAGACCAGATCACTGTCAGTAGGCCCATCCAATCATCTGTAATAAATCAATATGACAATCTGATTATCCATAACATCATGTGACTTTGCTTCTCACTATGAGCTGATTCTTAAAACAATCTGACATATCTTCAATTTCATCTCACACAAAATACCTATTTATTATTCATAACTCCATTTTACATCAATACTTGCAGTGACCTGACCGCCTTTGTTCATGTCTGCTCTTCAGGCAGCTCGTAAGGCGGTGCAGGACACCTCACTGCAGGAGGCAGCAGGTGGGATCACCGTGGTGGGGCGTGTCCAGATGAAGACCAGGAAAACGCTAAGGGGTCACCTTGCCAAGATCTACGCCATGCACTGGTCTACTGACTCCAAGTAAATACACCGCATATTGTTCACAAACTGCAAGAACACCTGCCGTTTTATTTCACGGCCAAGATCTGATGGTTTTCTATTAAATTTAGCACAAAACTAGAGGGGAGGAGAGCCAATGAATACGATGGGGAATTCAGATTGGTGAATTAGATTAGTAAAGTACACATAGTGCATTCAGTCGGGTGAATTAATAGGAACATGGCATATGGCTGATGCAAATTTTTCATCTGATGCTTCAAATGTTGCTGCTTCTTTTTCCAACTTTTTCAATCTTTGTTTTTTAATCACTATTAATGTAACCCCACCAGGCTCTGTGTCAGTGCCTCACAAGATGGAAAACTCATAGTGTGGGACAGTATCACAACCAACAAGGTAAGAAAGAGCAAGAGTGGTGCATCATAGTTACAGAAAATGGTTGACGCAGGCAAATATACACCTCATGAAGTCATGAATTTGTCTTGTCAGCTAAAACGGAGTCAGCAGTAACTGTGGCCAAAACCTTGCAGCATATATTCACCGTCAAAAACACCAAAATACAAATGTAACTTCACTTCATGAAGACAAAGACATTTAAAATTTCAAGCATTTCTCTAAAACATTAAATATTCATAAGTAAACAATCATCTTTATGTGTTGTTTATTGAGAGTTTAACAGTCAAAGTCAGCTAATCTGCTTCTTAAGAACTGTGCTGAAGTGGTTTGCTCTGATTTGACTCACAGTGACAATAACAACGCACCAACTAACATCAGGCTCTGATTCTTTACAGTGTATCCTCATTTGTTTCTAACTTTGGCAGAAAACTGTGTTTATATAAGACATCACATTTTCAGGGGCTTTAAGTCTGTACCTGTTGTTCAGATTCAGGTATTTGAGTAAATTTGGTTTCCCCAGGTGAATGCCATCCCACTCAAGTCATCGTGGGTGATGACTTGCGCCTATGCACCTTCGGGAAACCTAGTGGCTTGTGGCGGTCTGGACAACATGTGCTCCATCTACAATCTCAAGGGCAAGGACGGGAACGTCAAGGTCATGCGTGAGCTGGCAGCACACACAGGTAAGACAACACAGCTCGGAAATGAGATCAGTGCTGCTGATGTTGGACTTGTTTTTCATATTTTTTGGATCATTTATGGTTTCTCATATAGTATTTCTTTGGTTGCCCAGGTTATCTGTCCTGCTGTCGTTTCCTTAGTGACACCGAGATCATCACCAGCTCCGGCGACTGCACTTGGTAAGAATATAGTATAATTAATTGACCTAAACAGTAAGTTGCAACTTCCCGAAATCTCTTGAGTCTATACTGGAGTATATATTGTGTTTGTCTCCTTATAGCGTACTATGGGACATTGAGACAGGAACCCAGAAGACCATCTTTGCAGGACACCAGGGAGACTGCATGTCTCTGGCCGTGTCCCCAGACTTCAATTTTTTCATCTCAGGGGCGTGTGACTTCACGGCCAAGCTGTGGGACATCAGGGAGGGCGCATGCAGACAGACCTTTGGAGGGCATGAGAGTGACATCAATGCAATTGGGGTGAGGATGAAGATTTCGAGCTCAGTTTTATACTATATATTTCTTTTTTTTTTTCTTTTTTTGCTTTAAGGTCTAGATTCTTATCACTTCTCTTTTGTTCAGTTCTTCCCCAATGGTAACGCAGTGATAACCGGGTCAGATGATGCTACTTGTAAGTTGTACGACCTGCGAGCTGACCAGGAGCTCATCACCTACCAGGACTCCAGCATCATGTGCGGGGTGACCTCCCTGGCACCCTCCCTGTCTGGACGCCTGTTACTGGCTGGCTATGATGACTTCAATGTCAACATCTGGGACGCGCTCAAATCTGAGAGAGTGGGTGAGTACAGGCAGAAAACAGAGACGATAAAGTGAATTTAGCAACTGAAAGCATCTAAAAACTGCTGATATGGGAGGGAATGTTCTGCATTTGATTGATTTCATAAACATTTCCAGTGGTACTTACAACATATCTTTTATTCTTTGTGGTGGCCCAGGAGTGCTGGCTGGTCACGACAACAGAGTGAGCTGTATCGGCGTATCCACAGATGGCATGGCGTGTTGCACAGGATCCTGGGACAGCTTCCTCAAGATATGGAACTGAGACTGTTCCTCACCAGTGAGCAGAAAGGGAGCAGTTAACATCTGCCGGGGAGAAAGTGAAGAAGATAAAAAAGAAATTGGAGTTTGAGGGAGGGATGAGGGACGAGGAGCCACATAGGGTGAGAAGAGGGTATTTTAATTGTGCCAAGTCTTATCTGATGTCGGAGAGGAGTTGTATTGTGAAGATTCTCTCCTCTCTCTGTCACATTGCGCTCTCAGCTTTCTTCTCACGTTATGGGGGAATTTGGGGTGGGACACTGGGTGGGGGGTCTCAGAAAAGACCATTCCTCTTAATAGTGAATTATATTGCGGTTCAAATCAGTAACATGCACATTTATCGCAGCAATTCAAAGATCACCCAATGAGAACAGTTGCCAAATGGAAATGGTAGCACACTGGATGAGATAGAATTGAATATGTGTCAAGTTACGGTCTGTGTAGGTTCACACTAGCTCTACTAATATGCTGTGTTTTATATCAAAGCATAAGTTATGTCATATGAATAATACGAGCATTTGCGTTTTTGTTTCAGACTGTTGTTTGTTTTTAGTTTTGTAGATTCCCTAGATGCTTACAGTTACATTCTTTTCATTTTCTAATTTTAATTATAATGGAGTTATAGTTTGCAGATGTCTACATTAGTGTTTGAGTTTTTTTTGTATGTGATTGATGGACAATATTTACCAGGATTTGGGGTCTCATCATTTGCACTAACCCCCAGGTTAGACCTGAAAAGTGCTTTGGGTAAATTGTTGAACTGACAGATGGGATAATAAAATGTTTTTTATGGTTCATTAAGCACTAACAAAAAAGATGACCCATTTGTCTCAGGACAGGACTCTTTGTATGAGTGTTTTTTTTTTTTCCTCGGATAACTGCTATTGTGTGCATATGAGCAATACATCTGAATCTGTATATAAGAGCTTACCATTTCCTCTGCATGATAACAGATAAACTTGAAGTAAAGTTTGTGTAAATACAAAAAGAGAAAAAAAACCAAAAAAACAATCTCCAAGCTCTGACTAGAATTTGGACAACCACTTTTCCAGCACTTGGATACACACTGTGCAAAGTAAAGCAATACTACCTTTCTTAAAGACTGTCTAATAAACGTGGGATTCTGCATTACACAAGTCTTTAGAGTTAATTTCTAACACTGACATGCTGATTGACATGGCCATATTTAAATGCCACTGGATGAGAATTGAGCCATAAAATATGGTATCAACACTGCTGAAGCATCAATTTAAACATCAGTGTGATCAGTTCATGAATTACAGTAGTTTACGTTTGGATAAATGCATACAAAAATTTGGTGTCTTTTGGGGATAAACTTAAAAATGTGTGGTTTGATTACAGGCTCACTCTAATGTGATGTCATTATGAACCATTAACTATAAACAGGAAGAGAGGAATAAACAATATTGTCAAAGCCAGGAGCTTTGAGTCAGATAACAGCTGCATCTAATGAAATATGCAATTTTTACAAAATGAACAAATATTTAGTGTCAAGCTTTTATTCCATTTGTGAAGAAACAAAAACTAGTAAATTTTACAATTTAAGTATAGAAGGAAATTAAGTTATTTTGAAAGAATTAAACACAAGGAAAGCATAGCAGAAACAATTTGAAAACTGCTTCACAAACAATACAACGATTTTAAAAGCTGAGGTATGGATGCAAATAATTTTATTTATATTTACAAAAAAGGACAAAACTGCACAAAGTGGAAGTTAAAAGTAATATACACAAAGGACAAAGATCAGCCTCAAAAAACTGTACATATAAAAGCATGTTTTAAGAGATATAAAAGTGGCAGGAATCTGTACACGCTGCTACAGAACATCATCTGTTCTCCTTATCCAGAGCCACTGCCAGCACTCTGCGGTCCATCTGTCCACGCCTCTGCTTATCTGGGGTGGACACCTTCAGCTTCATCTGGAAAGTGGGAAGGCCAAAAGATTAATTGATTCACTTTGTGTTGGGATTCACTTTTGACCAATTGAATTACTCAGCATCACTTTAAAAAGCCAGTGTAGATGCCAGTCAATTTGCACTGAGTAAAGGAGAGTAGTAATCACTGGCAGCGAGTGGTTGCTTGTGTAGAATACCTGAGAACGCTGGTCCCTGGGTGAGTTGGTCTCCTTGAGGATCTGCAGTGGAGAGCGGCCTTCAGTACCTAGAAAAGAAGTGAAAAAACATCAAACATCAAACAACAACAACAACAACAACATCTTGTTATAGACAACAAGAAGCCACAAACTCTTTACACACCTTTCTGCTTCAGTTTTCCAGACTGTCCCTTGTTTTCATTGGTTGCGTTCTTAACAGCCACACGGACAGCGAGAGGAGAGGAGCCTCCTTTTCCACCCTGCACTCCTCTTGCTCTTAGCCCAGAGGCACCAAAGCCTTTTCCCAACCACTGTGGCTTGAACACCACCTGACTGGGACTTTTTGAGTCCAAGGTGGGGCAGCGGATGCCTTTGCAGGGCTGTGGCTGCTCTGGGCTGGGGACGGTTGGTGGCTCTGAAGCAGATGCAGGAGGCAAAGAAGATTCTTTAACAAGCTCTTTTGTTTCTTCAGGAGATGGCAGCTTCTCTGCTTCCTCTGGCTGTGCAGGGGATGCTTGAACTGGGGAATCCTCTAGATCAGTGGCTGGGGAAGGCTCAACAGTGAACTCTGGTTCAACTGTGACAGAAGGAAGGGCATAACAGTGCTCCACACCATCTTTGGGTGGCTCCACTTCCACACTAGGTACTGGAGAAGAAGTACTTTCACGGTGCACCTCAGCAAAGATCTGTGAAGAGGTTGCTCCCTCATGGCAAGTTATTAGGCTCATGCTCAGTCTCTTGTGGAGAGGAGACTCCCTTGCTTCTTCTGCCTCCTCCAGGCTAATTTCTGCCTCCGTTTCTATCTCCACCTCCACCTGGGGCTCCTCAAGAAGCACAAAGGGGCTCGCGTCACCCACGCTTGGGAGGGGGTGCAGCACAGGAGTGGCGAGTAGGTTTGCGTGCTCAGCCAGGGAGCTGAAGGTGTGGGAAGCTTGAGGAGTCAGGAGGGGCTCAGTGGAAGCCAGCTCCTCACTCTTGAAGACCTCCTCCTCCACAACGTCATTGAAGCGTTTCTGAGGGGCGTCAGGGACTTTGCCTTCAGTCTCATTGTGGAAAAGCATGCCCAGGCGGCGAGCAAAGGACCCAACTGTTGCTGTAAGGGCAAGTGGAAGAGCCTCATGTTACACATTATTTTGGAGGTGAGAAAAACCAACCTGAACGTTTTTAATTACCCAATAATCCCTACCTCTCATGACTTCTCTGACAGGGGTGCGAGCGATGCCAACAGTAGGTGAGCGTGGATCAGTGAATGCCAGTGGACACTCACTTTTTCCCACAGCAGAAGTTTGGGACACAAGACCAGGGTCCTAGGATATACATTTGGTATGGTGAACTGTTTTGAAACATTTACGATATGTCTGATAATAAATCAAGCAGGTAACCTACCTGAATAGGGGTACGATCGATGCCTGCTGAAGGAGAGCGTGGATCCATCAGATGAAGGAAGCGACTGTTTTTGATAGCTGGCTCTGGTTTTGTTGGTGCGCATACAAGCATCTTGCTCTCAGTGGATCCCATGATGCTTATTTAAGGTTACCTGGCTCGCAGGTAAATAGAATACAGTTTTACATATCCACCAGAGCAGGACGTTTTTTACTTTAAAAACAACTTATAAAAAACAAAAATACAACATCCAACATGGAAAAATATGGTAATAAAACATCATGGAAACATAAAACCGTGCAGGAATTTGTTATAATTTCTAAGGAAAAGCCCAGCAGTAATATGCATACAACTGAAAAAAACTTGCCTCCTTGCTGCTCTCCAGTCAACTGTATACAGCCATACAATGTTGCACACAATATGAAATAAACTTGAAAAATTAAACACTTGAGAACAAAATTGGGTGCTCTTTTTTTTTTAGCTTCAAATACTGAAAATAAGTAAATCCCTTTACCTTATGTTACAGAATTAACGTTTACATTAATTTAACCTCACACATCACTGATAAGTAGGACATGATTTCACTGTAATGTAGCTTGTTTACACGCTTGTATTTAAAATTTCTACCGCTAAAACACAAGTTTCATATTTTGTACGAATTACAGAAGTGACTCGCAAGCTAACAACAAGCTAGCTTAGCTAAAATCAGTTAGCTTGATGTTTCCCCATTTCACTCTTGCAACCAGGTGAAAGTGTAACGTAACATTTAGACATCAAGTGCAGACTACTTCAGTTTACATGAACCAAGATTGCCATACATTTCCTTGCTTACCTCAAAGGAGACAAAGACAGTCGGTGAATGGTGTAGGTATGCCTTCTTTCACTAACTCAACACTTGAGATAAACTGGGGAACACACGAGTTTTAAAACATTTAAATGGTGGGATGCGTACATGTTACTTTTAAACAGGCCAATCAGCGTGCGCGTCATCTACGCCTCCTCGGCGCTGATTGGCTCAGATCACGGCGTTCTAGAATTGGGCGTGGCGGCCTGCTGATAACACATTTGAAAGTGGAAATAAATGCGTGCTTTGTTTTTCACATCTGAAGGATGAAATTTAAATGTTATGTTCGAGCAGCTGAAGCTGAAACATGCCTAAAGCAAATGCCAGACTTATTGGGTGATGCTTTTTAGTGTTTTCAGGGAGAACAAATCGTAATTTTTCATATTATCTACGTATGATGCAATTTTACCTTTAAAAACATATACATTTTTTATAAATTAATTACATTTACATTAAACCTGAATAAAAATATTCAACAGCTGTATAAAATGACCAGTTAATATTCTGCTTCCTTATCTGTTTTTAAAGGATAATTTGACAAATTATATTTTAAATGGAATCAGTTTAAAAAAAAAAAAAATCAATTTCATCTTATAGTTTTCCCCTTATTGCCTCAGTTTACAGTATGCAGTAATTTACAGAGTTGATCACTTTGATATGGTGCTCCTTAATGGAAAGACTTGTAAGCAAATAGCAAAAAGCCTTGTAAAAATAGCTTACTCTAACTCCAAACTAACTAAAAGGAATGGGTAAAAACTCTAAAGTTGTAGGTAAAATCCCAATATAAATCTGAAAACACAGGTTTTCACTATCTAGAGCACCTTAGAATTTCAAAGTCATAGTGCAAGTGGTCCCAACTTTGAAACACTTGCTGTGTTCGTTACCTGTATCTATGAGAAAAAAAGAATCACCAACACATGTTTGGAATCAAAGCTTTATTGCTGAATATTATATTAAACATTGCAGTCAGGATTTAACTAACCTGAAAACAATTATAGTGCAACAATTATGTTACAATACACAATATGGCATATAGCATTATTTTACAATGAAGCAAATTGTTTTACAAGAGCGATATGAAAAAGAGCATGAGAGGAGCCCAGAGAAATCATTCTCAATGATATTACAATTATATGATCTTATCATCTGATGCATGATTAATATCCCCCAGCCAACCCCAAACACACACACACGCAGACATACATACTGTACACATACACACACCTTATCATAATAGTAACAGTCCCGCTGGTTGTCAGTTCATTGTCCTGGCTGATATTTGATTACTAAAAAATTAAATAAGGTATTAAAAAAAACAGAAAAACAAGCCACTGTAGCGCTTCTGACTAGTGTTTGTACTCCGGACTGGCGAAATCCTTCTCCTCAGAGCACTTTTAATAAAAAGCAGTACTCTTTTTAATGTCATGGTAATACTGTACCTTTAATTTACATAACCGCAGTGAATATACAGTTCAATTTACAACCTGTTGTTAAGAAAGACTATGAGAGCGTTGAGTGTCATGATAAACATAACTGTCCACATTGCTGGTTACTGAATACAGAAGTGATTCACTCGTTCTTCACCATTTACTTTCTTCACTGAGAACAAATTTCAAATCAAACCCAGTTCTCCAGATAAACAGTAGCAGGAAATGAGCACACTGTCAAACATGTAAAATACAGTGACATGACTGTATTACTGCTGGCTGTTTCTCTCCAGGTAGACTAATACTGCAACATTTGATAGAAGTCATTTAAACACACACAAGCACAAGATGATGTCTCTAGGATAGTGGATAATTCACAGTGTCTTCCATCTCCATTTTCCATCAACCGTTACCACTCTGATTCTTCTCTGCTTCATTCAGTCACCCAGACATCTACCTCCCAGCAAAGCACATTCACACTCAATAAGCCCTCCCCTGGCTGGTCTTCATTCAGTTCCACCTTCAACCTCTCGCTGGCAGAAGTGAGCCAGCAATGCGTCCAAGTCCCGGCGATCGGCAGCAGCGTACAGAGAGCTCTCCCCCATCATGCTGAGAGCCATGCGCAGGGTAGACCAGATGTTGTCCGACATCACGGTTGCTACAGCACCTCCAGGCCCCCTGGCAGCTCTCGCTCCGTCTCCAGCGGCCTGGCGCTGTAAGGACAGAGCTTCAAGGAAGTGCTCCACTGCCTCTCTGTGGATGAAAGAGAAGGAAATCAGGGTAGGATGAACAGCTAATTTCAGAAATATTAACAGTTGCAACATGTTACTAACTATACTAAGACCCCTAATAAATCGTCGCAATTCTTGATTACTTTAATCCAAATAAGATCATAGTCTAAGTAAACTTTATCAAATTAAGACAATCTGCTAGTGCTGACCTGAATTTTACGAAATGTTCATCTCAGTACAATGCAGTATAACATCTTCCTCCAAAATGAGCATAAAGTTGAATTAACAACTCTCTAAAAACAATCTCAACAAACACTGAACAGTACAACTGTCATGAAGATAGGATTAATTGCAGGGCTGCTGTAGTTATTTTTTGACAAAGTGTACCTGATAAACTGGCAACTATTTCACAGTTGCCATCTAGTGGAAGTAAAAGCAACTGTATTCCAACAAGGTTTGTTAGGTTCTAATATTGTCCCAGATATAAAAAGAAAGCGCAATCAAGTCAAATTAAAAATAAACCAAAATGTACCAAGACGATTTTGTTATTTAATTTAAAACAGAAGACACACAATACCGATGTTCTTCACTGAAATGTAGGACAAGAAAAGGAAAGTTATTTTGATACACATGAAAAAGAAGAGTACGCTGTGTTACAGCATATACGATGAATAGCTGGATCAAAACCAGCGCATCTTTCAAGAGATCAAACCCACGGCAACCTTTTAGTCTATAACAATTGACATAAGGCACACTTAATGTTCGTTTCATACACAAACATTAAGATTAGCCTGTGTTTGCTACAATATTCCCTTGAACCTTTACTATTATCATAATAGTAGACACAGTTGTACTATTTCTATTAAAGGAAAGTGTGCTCACTTCTACAAAAAAGGCAAGCAGTGTCAGAAATGTATTCCACCCTGGTCATAAGCAGGTTGTGAACACCAGGACGAGTCAACCGCAAATACAGATTTAACCAGTGTGTCTATGGTGGTTTGAAAAAAAGGGGATATAAATCATCTGTGTAATCGCTCTAACATACAATACACTTTTACTTAGTATGATTACTTTTTTAAACAAACTGCAATTCAAAAAACAAAATTAATTCCTCCTTCACCTGTGCGCTCCTAAGTTGACACAGCTGATCCCCAAGTTGTAGCGGCTACGGACGAAACCTGGCTGCAGCTCTAGAGCTCTTCTGTAGGCAGCCACTGCCTCCTCTGAGCGGCTGCCATTGGCCAGTGTAGCACCCAACTTATTCCACAGCAAGTAGTCCTGATGGAGATGGAAGAGAAGAGGGAGAGCTCAGAAACAGACAGGGTGAAGATGTCAGGATCTCAGCACTGGCTTATACACTGACCTGTGGCGTGACAGAGAGAGCAGCGCTGAAACAATCCACCGCCTTGTCGTACTCTCCGCTTAGGTTGAACAGAACTCCCAGTCCACACTGCAGCTGGGGGTCCACCTGGGCTGGGTCAGAGTTGGCTGCACGCAGGTACAGGGTCTGGACGTCAGTAAACAAAGATCTGTGCGGAAGAAAAAAAGAGTCAGAACGATGTTAGTATTTAGTGTTCGAGAATCGCTGGATGCTGGATCTATATTTTCTGTTTTACATCTGAAATTATACTCACTCTGGCAGCAGTGACCCGAACCTCTCCCTGTCTTTCTCCCTATCTCTGGCACCATCATTTTGGCGATCACGCTCGTTCTGCTCCCAGACAGAGCGGTATTTTGGATTGTGCTTTAACCAATCACGAAGAGTCTCACAGGCCTGCCTGTGCAGCGACTCGTTAGTAAAACTGACAGCCAACGCCATCAGAGCAGTCAGGTTGTCGTTCTTCAGCTCTATACATCTAACGGAAAAAAGTGACGAAAAAAATCAGGCAAGAATTTAATATGATTGTTTTTATCCAATGTTTTTGTAACATTTTGTAACTATTTAAATTGTGAGTGATGGACATAAATAGAAAATACAGCTGTAAACAAGATAATGACAGGAGTAGATCCAGTCTAGAAAAGGACCTTGATTTTCAGTCACTACATGCCTTGTTGCATATCATTCGTAATTTCAAAAAAATGTCCACACAGAACACAGGTATCGATATAAAATATTTTCATTCAGACATACTGCCTCCTGAGGTCCAGAGGTGTATTTGCCCTAGTAAACACAGACACATTATTTCAAATGGTGTATTAACTTAGTTAAAAAGATTTTAATTTTGCAATTCTAATTTCTGACCTGCGGAGGGCGCTGATGGCAGCAAATTCTTGCTCGTTTTCTGCCTGACAGGTTCCCAGATATTGCCATGCCTGCAATTCAAAGAAAACAGATGCACACACACCAGAGCATCATTACAATTGCTTTGTGTCAGGGTAATAATGCAAATAGATTGCAAGTGAGGAGATTTATTGAACTGTTTTCGACATATGCATTAATAATGAAGAGGGTGACTGAACAATTAAAAACTGAAAAATGCAAATGAAAGCACAGGCTTTCAGAGTCTCACCAGCTGGTTGTCTGGTTCTCTCTGTACAGCACTTTCAAAGAACCGTACGGCACCAGGGATGTCCCCTGCCTCCATCCTCTTCACACCCTCTGACAAAGGGTCTGGATGGGATAAGTAGGGGTTGTCTTCTTCAAATTGATACCCCTGCAACAAACACAAGAAAAACACAGGGGCTGCTGAGCGTATTTCTGTGTGTAGTCCTCTAACAGAGGATCATGCAGAGGACGCTGCATGAAAAACGGTAACATACTGTATCTATTATACTTTTAGACATGAGTGAGAGCTGTGCAAAAATGCTGAAATCCTCGAACACATAAACATACAGTATGTCTCAGCAGATGGCTGTTCTGAGCAGGTTGACAGCTACCTTGTCATAAGAAGTGCTGAGTAGCTGATCGAAGTCAGACAGCCAGGGATGGCTCTCTGCATCCCTCTTAGCCATCTCCTCCCACTCCTGCTGCAGCTTCTCCCAGAAATCCACATCACTCTGACAAAATGACAGAGATACACATCATTACTTCACTCCCCACATCATATATCATCCTGTATTATAGACACGTTTGACCTTTGCTTTTCCAAGTGAAAGATGAGTCTGTATTCATGGTGTTTTGCAGAATAACTGAGTCTATCGAGAAAGATGGTTTGATTTTTCTCTAAAGGGATTAAGTAACTTCTTCAAAGGCACCTTGATGCTAAATGCGTTTTCAAACGTCAAAGTCCCAGGACACAATGTCCTGTAACCTCTATGCTTCAACTGCTCCCAGTTAAAAACACAGTAGCTTTATCTTTGGGTTTAAAGTTTGAGTTGTCACTGTTTCTTGTCTCACCTCCACTGCAGCCTTGGCTTGTTGGAAATCTGGTCCTGATGTGGTGAACTCATCCACCCAGGCTTCAGCTGAGTCCACTGAGACCTGAATAGCAATGTAGAGCATTGACAGGGGGTTGACTGGCGTCTGCATATACTGGCTGTTAAAACTGTTATTTGAGCTGAGGATGGTTTTTATCAAAACAGGAAAAATATAGAGGGAAGTGAATGGAAAGAGGGAAAGATGAAAGAAGAAACAGCACAGAAAAAGCTAATTTTCTCCTACTCCTACTTTCATCCTAATTAAGTCCTGATGTTTTTACTCAGATGGAAAATGCACTCAACAGCAACAAAAGATTTTAATGCTGAGTTTATCCTACTTTTTTATGTAGAACAAAACTGAAAATACAACACTAAAGGCAAAACTTAAATACAGCTATAACTGCAGCTGAAAATAAAACACCTAACGCTGCCACGACCACAGAGGTCCTACCTGCCTGATGACCTTGGCCCACTGCTCTGCCTGTTTAGCTTTAGTTTTCTCAATCTTCTCATTCCTCTCTGGGGGTTCCAGGGGAAGACTCCCTCCCCCTGTCTCCATCAGGAACTATGGCGGGAGGCGAGGAGGAGGGACGGTGGGGTATGGGATAATGTTTTGAGGAGGAGGGAGCGTTTTTTTTTTTTTTTTTTTTTTTTTTGAAGGGATGGGCAGAGTAGGAATAATTTTAAGTAGTAGGAGGAGTAGATGAATGGCAGTTGTTAATTGAGGGAATGGCAAGCCAAGAGTTCGAAGGTAGGTCAAAAAATGGGAAAAGTACATGTCAAAGTTAGAGGGCAACTAAGTGCAATGGAGCCATGGTGAACAGATATTCATCATAAACAGGACTGAGAGCGACACATGCACAGTATAACATGGAAGCCCTTTTCTGCCAGGAGAAGTAAAGAAATAGATGATGGGTTAGACATGATAAAAAAAAATAAGCGCATTGGTAATTATAATTATGAGACAACAAGTCAAAACTTTGTAACTATGTCAAAGATAATAAATAAAATTTTTGAGTTACAAGGTCAAAAGTATTGGATACTAATTCAAATTTTAGGCTTTTGAGTCAATATCTCATAATTTCTCCTTGATTAGTTAAAAAAAAAATCTGACTTGTTATTTAATGATTTTGATTTTCATCTCATAATCTACCATGAGCGTTTGTATTTTCTTCATATCTAATTTATTGTTTTCTTTTCTTGGCGTAAACTGGCTTCCACAGTATTGTGATTTTGTGGGAAAATGTAACTAAAATCCAAAATCTGGCATCAGCCTTTTATGTGCCTGAACTGAATATGAGGCAAAGTTAAACTAACCACTTACAACCTCAGGGAAAACTGAGTCAAGATGGAAATAGCTTGATTGGAGCTTGACTGTGCACATTAAAAAAACTAAATGCATAAGAAGAGAAGCTGATAGTCAGAAGAGTCCTCTCTTTGCTGAACAAATTCCATCTGCTATGCTGTGCAGTCTTGAGCTTCATATTACAGGGACTGTAGTGGCTGCTTTTGGTTACATGTGTGGAAAATGTTACTCTGCATCAGATACTGAGATGATGAGTCACGAGGCATAGCCTATACTGTGTTGAAGTGAATCAAAGTGCTTCCCCAATGTATTCCCAGTTGCAACCATCCCCTCCTCAGTGGGCAGCGACTCATACCTGGTTGAGGTTGGAGGCCCAGTTCTGAGCCTCCTCGGCCTGAGCTTTATCTGTGAGCTGTCTGTCTGTTTTGCTCTCCACTGTGACACTGCCCTCGCCAATCTGCCTAATGAATCGCAGGAACTACACAACAACGAAAAAAAAAAAAAAATGACAACAAAAAAAAAGCATTTACCATTACCATTACTAACTGGTCAGGTTTATACTAATATACTGTTAGTTTCTTTCCAACCCAACAACTTTCTTCCCAAAGTCAACATCAACATTACCAGTGCACTATGCTGCCAAGGAACTACTCTACAAAAATGTTAAAGAAAAAGAGAAAGGATATGGTGATAGATATGTAAAAAACAAATGACACATAAAAAGGATCCAGTGACTGTCAGAAAGAGGTAAACACACTGCTCACCTCTGTGTTTTGTAACTTGGGGTCATCAACCTTTGAGACAAGCTCATTGGCTGTCTGCCTCAGCTCCTCTCCTGGTTGATACTCCTTTGTCCTGTAAGGTTGCCAACACGAAAATATGACTATTATACTTTGAGTCGTTATAAGATTAGGAGAAAGAGTTGTATCTTATTCTGCATATGATGTATGGACAGCTCAATTCAAGCTCAAGGATTTGCTTTGGACTGTTGAACAAGTGAATTCTTTTGAGGTTAGTGCACCATATTGATAATAAAACTTCTGTAAGGCCAATATACTGTAAACAAGCTTTCCTGCTCAGATGCTTCATTGTCTTTTAACAGACAGAGTTCAACATCATCAGACAAGGCCAGACAAGGTTAAAAGTATGAATTCTAAAGACACAAAGACAAGAATTATCAAGGTTCAGACATGTATTCAAAACTGCCTGCCTTCTTCTACCTGTGCTCTTTTTCTCTTTTAGTGCCTATGCTCCACATTTATTGCAATGTGCCTGAAGTAGCCATTTATATAAGCCATTTTTCATCTGCATACTTTCAACACGCTCTATACATGTCACCCAGCCCCTCTTCTAACCATTCATTCTCCTTGTCTCCCAGGTCTCCAAGCCACAACTTCTCCTCCGACTGCTCCAGATACTCCTCTGCCCAGCGTCCAGGATCTGGAGCAGGAGGAGAAAAAAATAAAGCAGGGAGGCACATTGTAAAAATGACATACGATGCAAACATAAGAGGATTTATATGAGGCAGATTTGCTCTGATGTTAGTTAAAGCTGATGACATATGACAGAAACAAGTGATGATGACTCCAGAAACTGATGATGACTACAGAAACAAGTGCACATTAAGCAAGAATAAAAGAGTGAAAGAAAGAGCAACTATAATAAACTCAAGCTACCTGCAGCCTCAGCGATAAACTCCCTCGTCCAATCAGCATCTGCTGCATCACCAATAGCGATGAGCCCCGGTGTGGAGGCAGCGTCAGTACCTGAGAGGAACTCGGCCGCCCAGTCACCAGAGAGTGCCAACGCTGCCACATCTGGAGCTATGACATCGAAGTACACAGTGGACAGTGAAAACAGTTTGTGCACAGGCTTAAGACTAAAGAACATTGTATGTAAAACAGTTGAGAAAAATAATAATAATAAAATATACCTCTCTGTGGAGCTTGTCTGTAGCTCTGCTGGTCAATCTGCTGCATTTCTTCCAGCAGCTGACCCATGTCAAATGTGTGTGGGGGTCGTGGGGGCGCCTGAAGGAACTCATTCACCAGCTGGAACAAAAATAAAAGCATGTTGCTACAGCTAATAAAAACTATCCTACATTTTAGAGCCTGGATTTAGAAATTCCATACGGTATGGGCAAAACTTTTACCAAAGATTATACAGTATTATAGTCAACACGGTATTCTGAATACGGAAAGGAACATAAGCACTGACCTCTTCTTCAGTTGCAATTTCAATGGGAGAGGGGGGAATCTGAGAAAGAATAAAGGTAAAAAAAGATATCACAGCCAGCCAAATCCACGTCTGCTATTAAGCAGCAACTTCATGATGAGACTGGAATATGCAGACCTAGAAGAGAATTGTTTAGCTGATAAATTTCATTTATCTAAACTACTAATGAATATCTACAAATCACTCACTGTAGGTGTTGAGCGGTGCCGCCATGCCCCCCCTTCCTTGGTCATGTGACTGGTCAGCTTCATGAGGGGATTGGCTCCCCCACATTCTGCCTCCACCAACTCCCGCATCGCCATGGCAACACAAGGACGAGGCAAACCCAATCAGACCACCTGAGAACTGAAAAGAGGATGAATAGACGCATTACTCAATTATTTGTTTTGGACAATTGCACATAAATCAATCTGGGTTCAAGACAGTTAATGGCATCATATTTTTAGGACTGTTCACAGTCGCACTGAAGCGCAGCACTGGATAACTCAATAGTGTGATTAATTCAAGACGATTCCCAAAAGGTGCGCTGCACAGTATAAAGTTTAATTGCAAAGCGAAGATGACAGCAGTTCAGGCTCCACACATCAAATTACATAAAACAAAATGATGCACTCTGCACAGCTGAACTCACCTTTGTAGAATTACCCTGTCAACAAGAGACGTTTTGTTTTTTTATCTTGAGGAAAATTGAGAATGAATGACACAAATCATCCAGTGAAATTATCGTACATTTTTCGACATTCCAAAAACATTACTTAATTTTTCTAAGTCCTTTAAGGACTGTCAGGCAGTTGAAACCTTCAGGGTATCCACACGGCACAGATAGCCTCATGTCACATAACCAAATTCAAGCTCCATCTGCTGTTTTCCGAGTCATTTCCTGGCTTAGGTTGACCCATAAATAATGTGGATACGATGGCCCAGCAGGCACAGACATTTACTGCATATTTCACTCAGCTAGTCCAGTAAGTTCAGAGATTTTAGCTTTTCACTGTATTGCAGTCTTTAAACAAGAAAATAGACAACATTTGAAGCTACATCACAATATTGATATGTACCAAAATCACAGGCTATAATTAATGTCATATGGGGATGGGTAAAGAATCAAAATACTTCTTTGGTACTGACTGAAATATGTACTTAACACAGAATATCAAAAACTGTCAACTCAAATACTGAAACTGTCAAGTATTAAAAGCTGCTATTGAAAGTCTTTTTTGACTTGATGATTGATTCCTTGATGAGATATTTAATTTCAATTCAAGTTCTTCCACTGTTTTGAGAATTTAGGAAATTTGGAATAATTTGTTCAATAAAATAAAAGGTTTTATAGAAAAACCTATTTATATCAGATAAGGTACTGAACAAGTTACCTGACAGTCTGGTATCGGTACCGAAACTCGTGACTTATGAAACTTATGACAAGCCCTGGTATCATAGCACAGCATCAATGTAATAATGATATTGGCTGTTATTTGGTCCTCCTTTATCTAGTGATCACTCACCTCATCCTCAAAAACCAAAACATTAAAAAGAGAAGAATCATTATGACACTGATTTATTCCCTAAATGCAAACCCTGAAAACAATTATATGTCCATGAGGAAACCCTCCTGCTCAGCTCACTGGCCTATATCCAGGCCCAGAGATGAACAGATGACAAACTGTTATACATTCTGGCCTGCTCAACTTCTCTCAGCCCCTGGAGGAATACGTAATGGTTACAATTTCCATAATGAACTGTCAGGAATAGAAATTTAATTCCTTGTCTACTCCACTCTACTCTATTCTAACATAGCACTGTTCACCTACACTACACAAAATATAGAGAGTCCATTCTACAGGTGGACTCTCCATTGCTCTTATGGTCCAAAGATATTTTATTCGGTCTGATTCAAACAGCTGCTGTATGATGATTAGGGTCAACCTAAGAGGATTAGACAAAGATATTAATACACACACTACGACAGATAGGCCACTGTGACACCTATTTACTTGCTCACTAACATGCCACATACCTACTGCATAAATTACTCGAGGATGGTTGTGTTTTTGTCCTGCACAATCACACATATTCCCGCTTTTATTGTGAAAATTAATTCAGTCTTAGCCTTACATGCAAGCACACCTGCAAGCAATCCACAGCAACCAGGAGCTGACCGCGAGGTTTTTTAACTATATCTGCTGTCATTATGTCAGACCAGTCAACTGACTGGCACCAGTGAGTGTACAGTGTTAGCACTGTTTTTGCCCGAAGCTAACTGTGGCTTCAGTCAGAAACTGCAACATTAGCTTTCTCGGTGTGACTTAATGTATTTCTTTTTGTGTAGCCAACGTGCTTTTCATTAAATAGCAAGTTAAAAGGAAAATATATCAAGAATTAATGACCCGTTTGTCTTAAACAATAGCGACTGCAGCTAGCGGTGGCTAACGGTGGTAGCTAGCTACAGTAGGGCCAGTGCAGAGATGATTCCTGTAGTATGTGCACTGAGAGGCATGAATAGACGGGTAGCATGGTGTTCATCTCACCGCCGACAGCTGCTGCTGTAGCCGAAACGACTGTCCCTCCTCTCCGGTCTGCCCTCTCCGTCTGATTTCACAACCGTATCAGGACAAAAGTTCCCGCATCCAGTGTGTCAAACCTCCCGGTAACCGTCTGAAACCAGCCGCTGCGTGTTATCAGCGCTTCTCTTTTATTTACCTTCCTCCTCCATGACCCACAAAACCCTCCACCGATCGTTCGGAGTGTCTCGTAGCGTTACGATGGTTTGGTACTCTCAAACGGTTTTACGTAAGAGGATGTCTGCGCTTGAAAGAGAACGTAGTTTAATGAACGGAGACTGACTTCAGCTAATTAAAGGTTTTACGAAAAAAAAAAAAGTTATTGCGCAGGAGACTAGGGTCCAGGAAAACAGCGGTGCAGTTGCAAGGTGCAAAAACAGCATTGTCCAAGAAGAAACTTGGCAATAAAATGTAGAATTTAATAAGTATTATTTAGTAAGTAATATAAAATGTAAAAGTACTCATTGTAGAAAAATAGCCTTTCAGAGTGGTATATTTATTATATACGTGGGTTCATTGGTGACAGGTAAAGTACAAGTGCCGTACTTACAGTTTTGAGGTATTTGTGTTTTACATGAGTATTTACCTTATTCTACTTTTTAATTGTACTACATTTCAAAAGGAAATATTCTACATTTTACCACACTGCACATTTTACATTTTTAGCTACAAGATACTTTTCAGATTAAGATTTTCACATAATGAGTTTGTAAGGTTTTACACAAAAAAACACATGGTATACTAAAACACAATACATTGTTAAAGATTAGCCACACGTGACAACGGTGCGGTTGTCACAGATGTGTTCCAATAGAAAGTGATTTCAACTCTACTTCTCAGATAACCCACAAAATCAATTACTGATAAATCCAAAAAATAATATGACAATTTGAGTAGCAGAATTTTGTTCCATCTTCTTTTCTACCAATTAATTATCTCACAATCCCTCAGATGTAGACCCCTTGGTTAGGAACCAATAGACTGAACTACTTAACCATAGTATAAATAATAAAGTCATATGTACTGACATGTTGTATCACAGGGAACATCTCACTGCATAGGAAGTACTTTTACATTTGACACTTTAAGTATTTCCTCCATCATAGAAACCTTGAAGTATTTATAATTTCCCTATACTTCTACTCCACGTTTAAGAGCAATAACACTGTTACTGTTACGTAACAGATTGCTGCTAATTCTTTTGTACTTTCAAGTAGTGATCGCAGTACTTTAACTTGTAATGGACAATTTGTATGATGTAGGAGCTAGAGTAAAATCTTAAGTAAAGGACATGTATACTACTCTGAATACTGAATACTACAAGTTACTACAACTACCTTATATACTGCTGGTTAGTTTAATCTAAAAATTATTTTCATTTTATGTTATGATTTATACATAAAAACTGGAAAGTATCTAGTAACTCCAGCTGTTGGCTAAAGGAAGCAGAGTGAAAAGTAAAATATTTCCCACTGAAATGTAATAGAATTATAAAGTAGCATAGATGGAAATAACTCAAGTAAAGGACTTAATAAAAGAGGAGTAAATGTGCTCAGTTGTACTCCACCGCTGCTATGATGTGGTGGTTTGGTTTCTGTGTAAGTACTGTATGTGGTACTGCAGTAATGCCGTATGAACCCTACTCTAACAAGAAATCTTTCTCATGGAGACGTCATATAGTGTTTTTATTATGAATTTTGTAATGTTTTCTGACAGTTCTCAATAACAATTAGTCAGCATAATCCATGTCATCATTGTATCAATAATTACAGATAATGTTCCAATAGTAACATAGTAATAATATAAGTTATTAATCGATGCAATGTTTATTCCTTCTTAACATCACACTCAAAAAACGACAGGCTTTATTTACTGACAGGTTTAGCACTGCACATTGATAGGCTACACAGACAGACAGCAAGAGACACAGAGGGAGCGTGAGGGAGAGGTGAAGGTAAAAGGCAGGGAGGCAAGGGGGGAGGGAGGGAGAGGTGAGGAGAAGCACACAGTTGGACATTCACTGAATTAAAGATATCGGATGGAGAGGTAAGTGAATAAAAAAATGTAAAAAAGGTTTTGAAATGTGAAAAAAAAAATATTTGGAAGTGTGAAAGATAAAATGAGTGAGACGTATCTAAGTATCACAACAATGTGCCCTCCTTTTTCTGTGATTCAGATATTGACAAGTTCTTAAATTACAACATTATTACGAACAAATTAAGAGACACTCATCAAGCCAGGGATTATCATCCTTATCACTACTACTATTATTATTATACTGTTTTCTGATGCTGTCAAGGTGATTACTGAAAATGGGGGAAAAAAAAAGAAAAGTAAATCATAATCTGCTCCCTCTCAAAGTGTGCAGAAAAAGAGAAAGAGTGGCTGCAATAATAATAGTAATAATAATAATAATATCATAATATTCATCATTGTATGTACAGAAAATTCATTACAATCAATACAATCAAAACTGCCCAAGCTGAGCTGACATTCTGGAGACAGCAGGGGTAGCATTATGGAGTGTGTGTGTGTGTGTGTGTGTGGGTGTGTGTGTGTGTGTGTGTGTGTGTGTGTGTGTTTGCGTGTGATGTCTTGCAGTTATTGTAAGAGCAGTGTGCAGTGAGTGAAACAGTGCAGTGAGAGTCATTTAGAGACATTCCAGCGGTCACTGGGGGGGGGGGGAGTCACGAGGTTGGGTTACACCAGTTTTATTGTAGATGGTGATGTTTCGTCGTTTAGCGGCACAAGCTGAAACTTTGAAAGACCCCACTTTGAACCAGAAACCTCACTAACTGGACTCAACACCAAGAGGATTTTAGTCTGTATTGTCGGAGTATTGCAGAAGTACCAACTTGTGTAAAGGATGAGGTTTATTGGTTGATAGTCCTCAAATCTTATCATCAGCCCTAGATAAAATATAGTCAGGAGCTGAAGCACTAAAGTAGTCACAATACCAAAAGAAAAATACCTGAAAGCATATCAGTTTTTTTTAGGTTTTGTGAATACGCTGGAGAGTGACCGTAATGTCTGACCTCACTGTCTTCACTCTGCGGGTAACGGTAGTCGAGGAATGTGTCGAGAGAGGATGCAAAGAGGGAGAAAAGAGCTTGTGCACAGACTTCTCGAGTCAGTCTAATAAGGGAGCGCAGAGACATGTCAGGATCAAGGCTTGTGTCTGTGCCTACAGATCTATTCAAGGCCTGCATGTTGTGTATTGTTCCAGTTTTCAGTTTTGTAAAGATTTCATTCTGTGTTCGATAACAAAAGATAGAATACAATCTTTTTTTTTTTTTTAAAAAAAAAAGAAAAAAAAGAAAGAAATCTCATTCAACCAGTATTACACTATACAGACACATGACCATCGTGTGATTTAGAACTGGTGCACCACGTACAATTCTGGTGGGGTTTGCTCAGGCGGTTAAATTACATTAACTGTATACATTGTGCCATTGAACATTTAGGTGGAGAACAACAGCCTGTTGTTGGCTATAGGTCACATATGGCATTGCGTGTCAAGAGTATTACAGTGACTGTGTTGTGCGTAGTGTTTGTAAGCATACATTCCTTATACTAGTGGTGTCAGCAGTCGTTGATATTAAAAGTGTTGAAGTGTGTGACTGGTGAGCCGGTTTGTGGTTTCCATGAGAACTGGTGCAGGGATACATGTGGCTCAGTAGCGACGGGCGCTGCCGTCTCTCCCCTCTTTCTTGATGATGATTCGCTGGTCGTCGCTCGCGTCGTCAGGTGACTCTGCTACCTCCTCATCCTCCTCCCCCTCCCCTTCGTTTTCGGCACAGATGCCCATGCGAGACTCATAGGACTGCGGAAAAGACCGACGTGTGGATGAAAACAAGAGCTGAACAGTTGTCATCACTCACCTTCAATTTTCGATCGAGTGTTTACCTCCATTGGGTTGACGATGATGGTGAGTGCAGAGTCGTCCCATTGGCTGCTGCCCTCCTTGGCCCCGCCTCTGGCACCTTCACCACGGCGATGGATGGAGCGAATTCGGAAAACGCCCAGGATCACCATGACAACCAGGAAACCCACACACACCATTATGATGACGGTGGCTGCTCCTGGTACCACTATCAAAAAAAACACAGAGAGACAATTACCTATAGAAAATAATCTCCAGTTTTAAAGGGTGATAATGATGATAATCTATATTCTTCCTATTGTCAACAAATACAACAATGAATTTTTCCTTCCAACAAGCACTATGTGTGTATCCAAAGCCTGATGTAGCTTTTGTCTTTGTGCCATAGAGCTCCACTGTTGTCCAAAAACATATCAATCATCATAAAAAACACATCAGTGAGCGACACCGTTGCACTGGGTGACATATTCTTTCATTACGCTGAACACAGGCACTGTGCCAAACCTATATGGGTCCACAGCTGAAAATAGCCCCCAACAAATACACTATTCATCCCAGTTTGAGTGATCTTTTAAAAAAAAAAAAGTGACTTTTTAAAGCTGTATGTCTTTAGTGGGAATAAATGGGATTGGGGTTAAGTGTCCAAGAAAATTCAAAATTCAAATGCAAAATTCTTCCTGAAGTTCTTCCATATAAACACTGCATCAGGTTTAAATGTTGAACTAATCACTGAATGAATGGTTAATCTGCAGCTCTGCTCAAAGATTTCCCCCAATCTGGATATGAAAGTATGAAAAATGGGACAATTGTCCAAGCTGATCTCCTTAAAGGCAGACTTGAACTCCAGGGTGTTAGACTGTGTGGGCACTGTGATTAAACCTGATAATTCTATCACTGAAGTTCATGCACAACTGAAACACCTGAGGTGTCCGCCACACTGGGCACACACACTGTGTGTTACACTGGCTCCGCATCAAACTCAGAGTCCAGGTCCTGTGATTAGTTTTAGAGTTTCTGCATGGTCAGGCTCCCACCAACATTAGAGACCAGCTGCAGCCCTTTATCACTAGTAGGTGTCTGGGGTCTTTTGATAAGAGTTTGTTGGTTGCTCCGGGCTTAAAACTAAAGAAGACTGTGCCTTTGAAGTTATGGATCTGAAACTTTGTAAGGCTCCCCCTTTGAATTATAGATCTGTGAACACTCTGGACACCTTTAAAAAGCAATGACTCATCCATGTACATGTTTATACTTTACTGTTTTTTAGTTTAACCTTTGTGTCTGCATTTTATAACTTTCTTTTGTCTT